ACCCTCAAAACTCAAACAAATCGAACTAAAAAGGTGATATTCGTAATCAGCACAAAATTCTGCATCGGATGATGTGTCTTTCAAGGAAAAATGAAGAGTGCTTGATTTTTGAATTAGCGGCACCTTAGTAATCGCTTGATAATGATGCATCGTATACAATTTCTAATAATTGATCAAGCACATTATTCATTCGTTTACGGTCATTTTTTATTTCTTCTGGTGTTGATAACAATGCTAATATCATGGAACAAAGAAAGTCGTCTTTATTATAACTTTGGTATTCTTTAATTACATTGATAGCATTAAAAGAATTTAATGCATCTACACCATCATCATGTCGGCTGATATTATGTATAATATTAAGTAATATTAATAGCAGTTGTTCATTCGGCTCTTTTACCCTGAAAACAGAATGTTGTACACCGGTTTGGTTTAACACTATTTCTCGCGATCCATTTTTACAAAACATTATACCCGTGGTCGAGTTTTTAAACTAAGTGCAGCGTAAATCACAGAGATTCACAGGTACCACCACTATATTCTTCAAAATTATTGCAAAAAAGGTAATGAGACCATTTGTATGAGATCATAATCAAATAGAAAGCCTAGTTATTTTGAAACTAACCTACTCTAAGTAAGTTCCCAGTCGCCTGACCCAACCATTTACGCTGCACTACCGTTGCATGACTCCTACTTTCATTCGAGGTGTTAGGGAATAAAGAGGTCGGCGGCCGCATGAAACAATTTCTGGTCTATAATCGGCGGCAGAGGAGTGATGTATTTTATTGCGTCTTCGAAAACGGCAGCATACAGTTTTCCAATTAACTCAAAAAAACGAGTTTTCTTTAAAATTTTACCCAAGCGGTGAATGGGAGGCCCTAGAGATCAAATCTTATATAGGATTTCTATAGGAATCTTCTAGAATATCTGCAAGAAACTTATAAGAATCTTATAGAAATCTTACAAAATCTTATATGCTCCAGTCGATAGAAATGCATACTGTGGTTATAAGATATAAGATTCTTATGCAAGA